AGTGGTCTTGGAAATAATTCTTGTATTTAATTATTCATAAATAATTATTTTTGAAATTGCAAGTACCAGGAATCGAGCTCGGGTCCTGCCAAATGTGAGGCTCAGAATCAGCGCATCTTAACCAACTAACCGAAAGCCGTACTTGACCTTTTATGTTCGCACATTTTTCTGGAGTTTTCTTATTTTTCTATGAAAAAGTAACAAATAGTAATATAACAGTGACATAGTCCCTTAACATCAATATTATTTATTTTGTATTAAAGTTTTGTTATTTTTAATTATTTCATCACTATTATTTTGTCATTTCTAACCATAAAAATATATTTGACTGTAATATTTTGTTCAAAATAAATCAATAAAAAACCAACATAATTCATTTGTTCAACATAATACAACAGAAATATCTATTGAGTAAATAAAACAAATTGGATTCGATATAAATTACTTCCTGAAAGAAGTCAATGCTTTCAATAAATTTCGTATAATGCACCTGTTGTTCGATATTATTTTGGAAGACTTCCATACACTTGCAGGTCATTGTACTACAAATTGTATTCCAAATAAATTTAAATCTGTTGCCTTGGTAAACGCAAACAAATTACACGTAATTGCATTGAAATGTTGGCATTCAATCAAGCCGAAACAAATCTTAGTTTTGCTCAGCTAAGAGCAATTACTGGAGATATTTTAAAAATTCCAAGGCATAAAATCCTTTTCAGTCACCACTCAAACGCCTAACGAAGCATGTCAGCTTCACTCATTCTGTATTTGCCTAAAGCCACCACCGCAACTTTAAGCTTTTCCCACATACAGCCTTTTGCCTACTTTTTGTTTTCTTTTGCTGACATTGGCACTGGGACTGGGACGGGCACTGAGACTGGCACTGACAATGTCTTTACCCCCATGCGATTCTTGTCAAGCATATTTGGCAGTTACTCTGCTACGGCAGTTTAGTTTTTTGTGAGTAGTCAGTTTAGTCCTTCGACAAATCCATTTTGTATCTCACAAACAAAGCACTTTTCTTACAATTTCAACATTTGTTTTTATTTTGGTTTTTGTTTTATTTTTTGTTTTTTTGTTTTGTATTTTCTTTTCTTTATATTATTGTTTTCATTTTGTGCTGATATTGTGAAATATAATAAATCTTCTAGGTACTTTCCTGTGCCACATAAATGATATATTTTTGTTGCTTTAATGGCAACTTAAGTGCATACAGAACGACCGCAAGGCAAAGTTAGTTAAATTCATTTTTGCTGGTAAACCAATGAGGTCTTCATCTAAACCCTGGTATGACTACTACCATAAAAACTCATTCCAACCACTACAACAACTGAATGCGGTTTGATAAAGCCAAGCCAAATATAAGAGTGTGTAAGCTAAAAAGGTGTCCAAATCCTAATTTGTAGCAAAAAATAAGAAATAAAAGAAAATATTTGGGAAAAAATTGAATAAAAAAATTGCCTCACAAATACAGATTCCTAGCAAAACAGCATATGAGTGTAGTACCAGCTTCACAACTTCATATGGAAACAAATTGCACAACATAATCCCGAGAATTAGTGACGCTCTGTGGTTATCACCCAAACAACATTAGTGAACAGCTAAAAGCAGCTTGTTTCTTTATTTTTTATAATATTTTTTTTTTGCTGCTCAGATTTTCCTTTGCCAGGTGATATTACACATGCCATATATTGTAATTTATACATAAATATAAATATATATGTGTATCTAATGTTACACAATAAAGAACATATATACTTTTGCCACAATATGGCAACATTTGCACTATAATATGCGTATTATGAGGAATATTGTTAGAGGTGCACAATGTCGGTTGATGGAAAGCTTAACATTGTGTAAATGTATCTGGAAAAAATTAGTTGCCTTATGCATTCAAATGAGCTGCTTAGTGCATTTCCCAAAAGGATTAAGGGCTTTCTTGTAATTTATGTACATTACGCTTACTTAAACAGAAGTTTGTTAGCGAAATATGGAGTAAAGTATTTAAGCTTAAAAAGCATTGAAACTATTAAGATTTGAATAATCTTATTTGGAAAGTTTAAGTTTAATATATTCTTCTATTATTTTTAACCATATATTTATAGATTTTAAATATTACAGTTGCTTGCAGAAATTCTACGATATATAGGAGATGAAAAAAGCAAAGAAATTTCTTTAAATAAAGTGAAACCCACAAGGCAGTCGCCGACCTGGCGCTCCTTCAAGAATATGGCGAAGAACAATAGATGCTGACCTAACATCAACGCGCTATTCATGGATACGGTTCAGAATAATTGTTGAGGCCGTATGCTCCTCTGGTAGTTTATGGAACAAAAAGAAAAAGAAAAAGACTAAAACTTTAAAATATGTACACTTTAGTGAAAGTCTGTGGAAATCATAGAATTCAGAACATTCCGAAGGATTTTATCAGTAAAAGCAATATGACTAACGAGAAGTATTTCGTTGATAATTCCTTTACAGGGATATATATACACGAATACCACAGTAGTCTTTTAAATGTAACAGGCGTAAATAAAAGCAAGAAATGTTTTGATTTGAAAGGTATGGTTGGTTTGTTGGTTAAAGAAATGACTGTTCATTAGCGCTTCCGCACAGTTTTATTTCAGCACCTCGTCAACAAGTTGATTGTCCAGCTATTTGTCTGTCCAACACGATTAGATCTAGTCTGTATGGCTTAAAAACCTCTGGTGTTTACTGATATAAAAACTCTTTAACACTCTAACATTATTAAAAAGAATCTTACTTAATATAGCTGGTAATAATTTTCTTTGTTCGTATATACCAATGTGCTTCATAGCAGCACTTCATTAGTTTCTTAACAAATTGTGCAGTATAAAATTAATGTACTGAATTAGTTATTTATTAACTATTGAATTAGATTAATGTATGGTATCAGTTATATTTTGCAGACATATAGGAGAAAGTCTTTAATCACTTTTTTTCTCGTTTACTTTTCGGTTGCAATATAGTTTTATACCGTATCATTTCCACAATTCAATTATTGAAACATATTTGTTTAAATATTAAATTTATTTTTAATTTTTTTTTTTTAATTATAAAATTTTTTTATTTATAATTTCAACAGATAAAAAAGTTGTATTTTAAAATGTTCTCCATATTAAAAAAAGTTTATTCTGAAACTATATATCAGTCAGCTAAACCAATCCTATAATTAATTGGTGTTGTCATTAATAAATTGTGCTTAATCGTTTTAAACAAACATATATGTATGTAAATATATACATAAATATTTATATTTATATTTATATTATAACATATATGTTATTTATACAAATATGCAAATATATAGGTATTGATACAAACATATTGAGTATATACTGTGAATGCATTATTAAAAGCTTGTAAGCAACAAATTTAGCATATAAGCAAATTTAAGGAATTTTGTGTAATTCCCCGAAAGCTGCTGATAAATTGCATTAAGCCTTACTTTTGGAAAACCTTACAAAATTTTCATAAGCAAACACAAGCAAATACACTATTTATACATATATATATATATATATATATATATATCATAAATTTTAATAATCTGTGTATTATTTTTCGACAAGCTTACAACACTTGGCGTACGAGTCATGAGCAGCCTGTAAGAGCACTCAAGGAGGTTAAGTGCCAAAATGGAAATAAAATTGTATGAATACTCACACACGATATGAAGGTAGATAGGAAGGAGAATTAGAACGTTTAGAATAGTAGAAAATTGCTTTTATATAATTTAAATTTCAAATTGTGAAAGATGCATGCCAACACGCAAGCAGACACACCCACAACGAGTTTCGGATGTTTGAAGAACCCAACCTATTATGAAAGCAGTTTATGTAGAATTTGCAACTAATAAATTCCTTAACTTGAAGTTTTTGTTCCTCGACGAATATTTAACGAACCAACTTAATCAAACATGCAGAAATACAGCAGCTCAGAAAGCAGCTATCCAGACAGATGGTCGGAATTCATATACCAGGTATGCTAAATTTTGGTAGCGGGGATGTTTGAGGAGTAAAGGCGAAATGATTCAAACATTTAGCAATATTAATAGCAAATCTTTTATGTCCTGTTGCAAGCTTTTAATGCATACGTCCTTTTTGCCACTTTAGAATCTTTGTAGCAGTAAAAATATTTGGCAATACACACATATGGGGGACTTACGTACTCATGTCTGTTCCATTTTTTTTTATATATGTGTTGACGCTACGCAATATGTCAAGTGGGGCATGCAAACATATTCGTACACAATACAAAAGGACATGCACACTGCCGAAAAGTCCTTAAGCAACATTGTGTGCTCCTGCTCCTGCTACTACAGCTGCTGCTACTGCTTTCAGGCTACCAGTATCGGTACGGTTGCGTGTGCAGCAAATTTTTCCTTGAACTCTCGTTTGGGATTAAATCGAAAATCCCATTTACAAATATTTGCATACGAAATATTTACCGAAATTAAAAAAAGGAAGCTGCCGAAACGAAGAACAGAGCAAAAACAACAATAAGAAGAATAATATAGGATATATTAAAATAATAACAATTTGTTAAACACACAAACAATGAAACTTTATGTATCAAAGCCGTAAAGGATAAAATTTGAAATTCCAATACAGAATTTTATACAAACTTCCTGGTATGCGGAAATGTGTATTTTTGTTTATTTGTTATTATTTTGTTTCAATATTTTTAAAATATTCACAAATATTTACTTACTGCAATGCGCAAGCCATCGTCAGTGTTATCGCAATCGGTATGATGATGATGAAAAGTCCAATTAACAATGTGTACACATTCTGAAAATCTAAAAATATAATTTCCATTAAATATAATTTCCACAAAATTGAACAGGAAAATAGAAATTTAAACAAATAGAAAAACAATTTTCGAAAAAAAACATATACTCACCAAGTTCTAGGCCACCTCCAAGGTTTGGTTCTTCCATTACTGAAAATGCGGTGGCATTACCCATACGTTCAGCAATAGCATAGCTTATGTTCATCGCAGTGTCATTACCGTTTTTTGCCAAGTACTCTTTTAATGTGGTATTTTCGCCAACCTGCATTTCTGCTGAGTTGCCCACATCTACGCTTAACTCATCCTTGCGCAAATTATTAACGCCATGATTGAGTATAAAGTGTGCATAGTCTGCCGCGGTGTGTTTCGCATTGCGATGTAACGTAGCTGGATTGCCAAACGGATAAGAACCCTCAACGCCATCAAAGCCAATGCCACCAGCACCTTCGTCTATCAGATCGCCACCGTATTGTATTGACGACTCGACAAGTCTGTCAACTTCATTGCCATTCACGTTCTCTTCAATGTCATTCTCATATACGCCTGAGCGATGTTGATTTGCTTCGTCGGGCATGAAATCGATTTCTTTCAATTCAATCTGTGGCGGCAGTTCACCTATTACAGGCACACCTATTGACATTTCCGGCAGTATAGCTGGTTGTATGATGACATCAGGTGCTTGTGCAGATACAATTGTTGTTGCGCCAACACTATTACTACTGGGTTGTTGCTGTTCAACTTCCATCACAGATTCACCAACATAAGTAACGTCGAGTGGCGGTGCGCCATCTATGCCACTACGAAAAATCTTCAGCGCATCTGAGGTGTGCTGCAACGGTGATAAATATATATCTTCTTCATAACGCAAGGGTGGATTTCTCATCTTGCCAACATTAGTTGGTGTAGTTGGTGCTTTGTAATTAGCTGGAAAAAACTGTGCCTCGAGACGTCTCTTACGTAGTTGCTGTTGCAACTGCTCATAACTGGTGTTGGGTGTTGGTAGAGACTCACCCACTTTAACCTCAGTATTTGATATATAGAAAATAGTATCAGAATCACGATCTATGTTTGGCTTACGTGGTGGTGGTGGTGGTGGTGGCGGTGGCTGTAAATAACCATCACTACCGCTTTGCTTGACATCAGCAGTAAAAAGTTCATCTGACATTTGCGGCGGTTTAACTAAAGCATTTTGATTATAATATTTTACATCTTTGAGTTCAACATCCGCATCTGCATCAGCACGAAAAGTAAATATAGGATTTAAGTTCTCTACACTAGCTGAGTTATCAGTGCTATTCTCACCCGTATCTATAATTTCCACAACCAAAACTTCATCACTGCCACCGTTGGCACTGGTACCATTCTGTACACCACCAGCGTTATTGGCTGCATAAGACTTAACCGATATCGGATTTCTGTTCTTAGCAGCATAATGGTTATAACTATTACTTCTAGTGTTGGCGTTGTAATCTGTTTGTCTATATAAAAATTCCAGATCTTCGCTCTCATTACCAATACCCTCAGATACATTTATATGTATTTCTATAGCTGCCGGCTCGGGCTTGCCTAAACCGCCACTTGCTGCTATATTATTAGATTCTGGTGTTGAACTATCTACACGATCGACTACATATTGCGTAAAGCGTTCTTGTGTGGACGCTGCCAATGGTGGACGCGTAGTACCTACAGCTGATTCCACTGGTAAAGAATAATAGCCTTCATTGTCCTTAAAATTTGTAGAAGCTACAATTGAATCAATTGTTGAGTCGTAGACTTCAATTTGTATATCAGAAATTTTGGACTCCGTACGTACTGTATTATCTAATGCAGCAGGTATACCAGCATTTCCAGCAATACTCTCTGCACTCAACAAGTTCTTTCTTTCGGGAAAACGTGTGGCACTGTTTATAGCCTTTGGTACTTCAAATACTGTAGTTGAGAGTACGGGTGTTAATTCTTCTGTTAGACTTGGTTTTCCAGTTGTCGTTGTTGTTGTTGTTGTTGTTGTTGACAGTTCATTTAAATTATCATGCTGTTCTGTTGTTTGCTCAACTAATGCAGTTGGCGCAATTATTTCAACTATGCGTCCATCCCGCAATCTTGAGGCAATTGAAGACTCATGCTGTTCATGCGGTCGCTGGCTTGCAGTATGCAAAACGCTAAAAGTTTTCTCCCCCATGAAAATTGGACCTAAGTAACCACTATGCACGGGAGTGAAAGTTGTCGTTAAAGAGGGTGGTGAGGTGGCTGGAAATGTAGTTTGATCCAACTTATCGAGTTGCAGATTAACACTTAATTGCTTTACTGTAGTTGTTGTTGGACTTTTAGTTGCTTTCACTGCTTCTGTTGCTGCTGCTGTTGCACCATTTGTTGCTGTAAGGTCGTTTGATATTGATTTTTTAGTTGCTGGTTCTGCTGCTGCTGTTGTCTCCACTGTGAGCGCCACTGTTGTTGTTGTTGTTGGTAAGTCAATTAATGTCGCTTCTGTTGATGTGGATGCCTGAGTGGTATTTTTCGATGTGGCAGTTGTTGCTGCTACTATTGTTTTTGTTGCTGTTGCTGTTGGTGTGGCTGCTATTACTTGTGATTCATTACTGCGTCTCACTGTTGCGATGAAACCACTTTCAGTTGTTGGCATATCTGTCACATCAACTAAATAATGCTTGTCAATTAGTTGCTTCTTTTTAGTGCTCTTCACACCATCGTGTCCGTCATTGAGTGGGTGGTAGAGCTTTTGTTGTTGTAAAGCATGAATTGCCTCCAAATCATGTTTCTCTAAATCGATAAGCTTTATGCTACCAGCTTCCTGATGGTGTTCATGCTGTGGCGTTTGTTCTCGCTGCTGTTTTGTAGGCAACACATTTATTGCCTCTGGATGTTTGGTTGTCATAATCACGGGGGCTGTTTTCATATTCACAGCTTCCAAATTACTTTGCTTTGCTGTTACTCTACTGGCATTGCTGTTGTTTTTCAAATTGTTTGTGCTGTCGGCACTGTCTTTTGTTGTTACAATTTCATCAATTTGGCTGTCATTAAATTGTGCAACGATTCCCACTTCAACTTTAGCTCTTGTTGCCGTAGGTGCAGTAGTCGCAATAGTTGCGGTAGCTGCTGTGTACTCGATTGTCGTTGTCATTATATCCGGTTCCGTTGTAATTACCGGCATCTTTAATATCTCTTCGCTAACTCCCGCCGTTTGTACAACTGCATCCATTAGAGTAGCTCCAGGTAAAATAGTTGCTATTTTGGCTGTTGTTGCCGTGTCTACTCTCGATCTTATAGTTGTTGTTTGTGCCGCTGTTGTGGCACTATCAGTTTCCTTAGCAATTTTTTCAGTTGCATATTCTGCTATTGCTTTTGGCATGGCTTTAGCATCATCTTGTTGCGTTGTCAACATCATCGCACTTATATTGATGACACTGTCTGTACTAATGGCATTTGAAGTAGACTGTGTTGTTTGTCCAATGGTTGTATTATGCTTAGTTTCATTTTCCAATTTCAACGCAGTTGTTGCCAGAACGTCTGGCGGTAACGATTTTGTTGCTATTACGCGTGGCATGTTTCCAAGTGTTGTTGCATCTGACATTGTTGTTGGCTCACTTATTTCATACACCTGCATAGATTTAGTGGCAACAACACCTGGCATTGGTATCTTTGTGGTTTCTACCGTCGCATACTCTGTGGTTTCATATTGATTTTCCCGACTGCCTATCTTTTTCTCACTCAAATTTGGCACAGGTTCTGTTGCAGCTTGTGCAACTTCAACTGCACCCTCAGTGGATGTTTTATTTAATGGAGTTGTCACTATAGTTCCACGTAGAGTAGCTAAAGTAGTGTCTGGTGTAGTTGTTGTTGCTGTTGTTGTTGAAACTTCTATTTCAGTTGCTCTTATAAAATTTTTCTCACGCCATATTGTCTTATCCTTTGTTGGAAATTGTTGTCTTTTCTTTGTGTACTGGGATTTCATAGATTTACTTTTTGGCTTCGGTGCTGTATTTTTAAATTCTTTCCTGTACTCTTCAACATTCTTGCTCGACAGTTGTGTATTGGAGACCGGTTTCGCTATAGTTGGTGTTGTTGTTATTGTTTGGCTTGTTTTGGCTATGGGCGTTAGTGGTAATCCCTTTGCAGTTATCGTCGTCTTTGCAGTTTGTTGTAGTACCTCAGGCGTTATGCCAATTTCAGCAGAAGTAACGACAAGCGTTGGTGTGTCGCCTTCCACACTTATGGTTAAATGATGAGTTGGCGCTCCAGTAACTGCATATAAATGCACATTTATGCAGAGGAAAATGAAGATGCAGTAAAACATTTTTAAACAAAGTTTCGTCATGTTTGGTTTATTAAAATTTAAAGTTATTAAGCGGAATTTTTCAACACTTTGTACTACTTTTGCTTGCTTGTGTTGTTGATTGCTTTTGGTACTTTAATTTCTGAAATGCATACAAGTTGCTGCAACAAAGGCGTTGGCAATGCACATCGCTTCCTCTACTTGCATCGAAACTTCACAAATGCACAGCAGCTGCTTTGATGTTGTTTGGGTATTAAAACTTTTTAAACCCACAATTGTCTTCTATTGTAGCGATAGAGTCACTGACTCTCTCTCTCACTCTATGTGTACGTGTGTATGTTAAATTTTTTACCGGTACCGACGCCGGTTGACAGCGTATAGATACGCTGCCACACTGCAAAAATTGCAAAAGTAGAAAAAAATTAGCAAACTTGGATGCAACAAAAATGGCTCTGATGCGCTAAGTGCTTTGAAAAGTTTTCCAAGTTTCTTATTTGCTCATTCCTTGTAGTGGATTGAGGGTCGACGTTATGCGAGCTACGTGCACTGGAAAGTTTTTCTTGCGAGGTTTTAACGAAATACGAAGTGTGGCACTACTTCGCTTAGAAGTTGGCTTAGTTGTAGGTGGGTCCGTTGTGGTTTGTAAATGTACGGAAGGAAGTATTGTTTATGTTTAGTTGTGTTGTAAGCTCTGTAAAACGGAAAGGGAGAGACAGAAAAAAATTACAAGATATGAAAAGAAAAATCGAATTAAGCAGAGAAAATTCAATTTAAAGAGTTCATAAAACTTTTCCTTCTATACTTGCAACTGTCAACGTGTTGAAGTTTTATTCTGGAGTAATAATAAGTGCACCGCTACAAATTCGAAGCCAATGTTAACAACAAAATGAAAAATAAAAAAAGTTTTTAAATAAAATATTTCATATAATTAACTCACTGCTATTACTACTAATGCGAACTTTCTTGAAAGCCTTTGAAGTTTTAAAATAACTTTACTTTTATCTGGAATTTACAAACTACTTCCATCACTATGTTTCACTGAGAGCAAATTTCCATAAAATCGGAAAGTTGCTATATATATATATATATATAGTAAATATATATATTGAATTCCTAATAATAATAAGATTTCGAATTTTATAAGAGATTAATATTATTAATAAATACGTAAAAAATATAATTCCAAAACACCACTAATGATAAGTATTTGGCAATATTTGAGACAGCTGTGTAGTCAGCCAAAAATTCAATTAATTAAAAATAATAAAAATTTTGTTGTTGCAATTCACTACTGTTTGAAAAACCTATAAACTATAATAATATCTCAGATTTTATAGAATATTTATTATACGTGTTACGAATAGTTAAACAAAAAAAATACTTCCAAAAAACCACTGATAATGGTTCAGTCAAACATTCAATTAATTAAAATAATAAAAGTTTTGTTTTTGCAATTCATTATTGTTCGAAAAACTTATGTATTGTTAACCATAGTTTATATTAAGAAAATGTATGTATTTAATAAGTGACAATAAGGTCATGTTAAATGTTTGTTAGGATTAGAAGGGAATGATCTATTATATCCTACTTAAGCCTGGTGCTGGAATTAATTTGCTGCTCCACTGCTCCCAACTCGAGTGCTTGAATAAAATAATTAAAGATAATCTACCAGAGTTGGTCAATAGAAAAGGAAATATTTTCCATCATGACAATGACAGACCACACATATCTTTGATAAATCTGAACAAATTGATATAATTGTTAAAAAATAAACTAGTTTGCGTTTTGAACCAATATTATTAATGAAAAATATTAATTAAGAAATTATACAGTTTTGTAAAAGCAAGTAATGAGCCAATTTCAAAATTTATGCTATTACACAGTAAATTGAAATTTAAAAGCTAAGAGTCATGTATATAGAGTCTAACTATATATTCAAGATTTCGATTACGTCTCACTTAGTTGAGTGCATTTCAGTACCTTTACAATGACTCTTGTGTTAGAAACTTTTTTTCTACGGCCATAGGACAAATATAACCTCTAGTCTGGAAGTGTAAAAATAAGCTTACCTCTGACCAACATAAACCCAATTTATATTATGTTTTGTTGTTACTGGAAATACCTTTGTGAGCATTGCAAATATGAGCCAATAAATTCAAAAGAACTCCTCAATAATGATCTTACAGAAATGTAAAATAAATGGTATTTCTTTGGATATCTTTGACGTCTTTGAGGAAAAATAATTTACAAAAAATTCTAACCATGATTTATGTGCAGTAAAATAGAATCAGATGATCAATACGCTATGATAAAGAAAATACAGACCCCAAAAGTAGAGCTCAACAAGAACCAGACGGAAAGCCCTATC